CGTTTAGAAATAATTATAATTGAATGTATCTTTACAACATTGTTACTCACAGAGTACTAGGCTAAAGACAGGCTAGTCAGCGTCCTCGGGTGCCAATCCTGCACAGCTGCAGAACGAACACACACTAAGTTACACACTTGGGATTAATAACTTAGCCCCTTAACTGGACTCGGTGTGGTTCTATAACATTGTCCTCATTAAGATGCCTTAAACAAGGCCTAGGAATGCCTAGGATGGAATGAGGGGGGCCTGGGCCTGGACTGAACAAGCCCTATGTCACCTAGTCCCAATAGGCCCAAGCCGAGCTCAGGCCCCGATTAGCTCAAAATTACCTTTATAAAACTCTCTAATTGACTTTGATTCACAAAAACTAGGCAATTTGGCAATTTATCATTCTCCAAACACTCCAAATTACAGAGCTTCTATCTCCTCAAGCGAAGAAAAACGCACATCAATGAGATCGAGAGCATCTTGATCAACATTAGCTGTGCAAAACCATTTGGGTATAGAATAATCTGATTGTAGTCCAGGTGAAAATTCATTGTTCGCAGTCTCCTGTTTAGATATCTCAATAACTTCTTCGGTTTCCATTTGACTTGTCCTTTGATGATGATTAAAGAGTTCGGGTTTCATCTCCAAGCAATATTTCAGATCTTCCTCATTCTGAGCTTTATTCAACTTATCATGAAGATCACTTAAAGCCGAAACCCTCTCAGCCCGCCAAGATTTTCCCTTTTTTTGCATTCGACAAGTTCAACTTGCTTACTGGAATCATTGTCACCATTACCTAACTCGATTTTCTGAAGCTTCCTTAGTCCCTGATTGACAATGTCTTGCACTCTCTTTGTAACATTTTCACTCCTGGGGGGCCAATTATTGGTGGACCCTTCAGGTGTAGAATCCACAGTAAGCACCTCATCGAGTAAACTAACGTTCTGCATGTACCGATCAAAAGCTTCATTTTCCACTTCAATTTTTCCCTCCTTGTGCTCTTTCAACTTTAGAAACCTCCATTCATTAATAACTGCAGCATCCTGAAATTGCTTCCCAGATCAGGATTAACAACAAACAATATTACATGAGGAGAATAAATTAGGCGTGTGTATGCACCTTTCTAGTCACTGTCTTCCTTGAACGAAGTGGGCCTTGCAAATTATTAAACTGGGCAAAATTGTTGGAGAGTTGCCGAAGTGAAGTAAATCTACGTGAATTCCTGAAAGACAATATAACTACTTAAGAAACAACACTGTTTTGAACAAGGATAAATGTCAAAACCTTTTTTATCTTTTCTTTTTGACAAATACAAATGTCAAAACCTTTTAAGCACTAAACTTAAAACCAAACCAAGCCAAACTTACAGCTAACAAGTAAGCATGTCAATGTGCTAGGGAACTGAAAACAGAAAAGCATTAAGACAATGCCATGGATGATTGAGATGTGATGAAAAAAAACAAGACAAAAGGTTGGAAATTTTTGTGTTCAAAGAACAAAAACAAACTTCATAGAATTTCAATAATGAGTCTCTCATTTAAGGGTAATCAAATACAGGGATTTTACAAAGCTCAAGACTCATTCCTGGTCATTTGTGAATGAACACTTTCCCTTCACCTTCAGTGACTCCCTAAACAATTACAGACACCAGCATAACAAAAAAATATGTATGTGGGAGGACCAGAAAAGCACTGTTTTCCACATTTTAGACAGCTCTCGCCAAGTGAAATGAGCCAAATGATAGAAAAGCAATACATGTGTTTAGAAGACAAATGATTTTTCCTGGTTATAAGCTTCTAAGCATTATGTAAATGATAATGATAACAGCATAAACTCGACCAAAAATATCATCTGAGATCTCTGAAGAACATTAACTTACCCAGAGGAAGATGCGTCAGTTGATTGCTGATCAAACAAAGAAGAGCTAGACGATGGTATCTTGTCTGGAAAAGTTGCATTGCTTGTCAACACTGCAATCACAATCCAAAAGGAGTCATGCCCGTTAAAGTAGGACATCATGAAAGCAAATAACTGAAATCTTTAAACCAGCCTTACATTGGAACTCTCTTAATACTCGCTCATAAATAGCAACTCTTTGAAGCTTTATTTCACTAATGAAATGAGACAGAAACCCTCCACGATTCCAATGCCTTGTTACTTTAGGTACTCACAAGTTAATTTTGACTAGAAAAGCTTATTAATCTACAACAGTAAATTGTACTGTTATGTAACCAGTTACCTCAAAAGCTTAAGCTGTCCAGGAATAGGCTTAAAATGTATATCAAGTTCCAACACTTGCATGTTGAGACTCTATTTGGGATCTTATTATGCCTCACTGCAGGTAACAGGAACCACTCTTTATCCTTGGCAGTGAGCAAAACAAACTCTGAATACCCCGTAAATTGGTAAGGTGAGTGTTCACTATACTGTCTTTAGCCCGGGATCACCCTGAATTAGTTTTCACTTTTCTTTAGACTTCAGAGTTCATAATGCTCGAGTATTAAGCCAGGGTATTCCCATCTCAATTGAATCAGAACTGATCCATACATATAGTTGGGATCACCCCAAGTAAATTGTCAATCTTTGCAAGAAAAATACATGTACTTCCCTGCCATTACAGAATGAACAAGAGGTTGCAATGCCAGACACTTGCAACCAACTTGCACTTAAAACTGTGTTCCAGGTAAATGGTGCTTTGTCAAGATAAATGTACAGCAGTTACTGCAATATAGACTCCAAGCATGGTTATCATGTCCAGACATCCATGCAAAGCACAAATACAATTATTCCAATACATCATGCCCAAACATTCTTCACGACAACCTCAGAATGTAATGTTTGCATACCGTGTATGTGACATGGATTTTGAGCTTTTGCACAGCAACGAAGGGACAAAGATACCATTTCCATGCACAGTAAATCCAGCTCATCAATTAGTCTTGAAGGGACAAAGATACCATTTCCATGCACAGTAAATCCAGCTCATCAATTAGTCTTGAAGGGACAAAGATACCATTTCCATGCACAGTAAATCCAGCTCATCAATTAGTCTTGAAGGGACAAAGATACCATTTCCATGCACATGTCAGATATTCAAATACTCATGTACAAAAATTTAATGTTCAGGTGCAAAATGCATATATAGTAACTACATAATGAATTGATTTTTTTTAATTATTTAAAAATTAAAAAATAAATAAAACACAATCATAAACCATGGTCTTAACAATCCCCGATAAACAAGCAATTAATGGTGAAATTTGCATCATGACATTGTCTTCAATATCCAATCACCTGTTACCAAAAAGAAAAGAAGCCAATATATCAGCCCAGACATGGAGCAGTTCCTAGGGTTCATACACTCAAAGAACTCTCCCAACACGGAGGGTTCATACTCAACTCCACAGTGGGTGTATGATACATTTCTCAAGTATTTGAGTAGAGATGCAACTTTCACATTTTCTTTCTTAGTCTCCTCAATTATTTCATCTTTCTAAGGCTAAAAATGCCCCCAATTTTGACTCGTCTATTATGTTCAAATTGTTGTATGCTGGAACTTCAATTTCTTAAGAAATCAAAACGACCATGGCATCTGCGAGCCTAACACTATTGTAGATATTTTTCCTTTACCAATAATAATATATATATATATATACATATCTACAAAGTATAAGCATTGAGAAGAAGGATAACATTTTCCTTGTATCACTTGCCTCAAGGAAGCCATATCCACCTATGGGTAATCTCACCTTTCCTTCCATGTGTTCACCCTCCCATTCCCAAACTAAAGCACAGCACAGAGACGGGATTCTCAACCTTTTAAAATTCATGGAAAAGAGCAATACCAATATCACCAAAAGAAGATGACAGCCCCTACATTCCCACTAGATAAACAGCACAAAGATACAAAATTTCAATGATCTTTAGGGGGTGTTTGGGAAGTGGCTATTTTAGTTAACTTTTTTGCTTTTTATGAAAGACATGCAAAAAAATAGTAAGACTGATGTTATTGGGTGTTTTGACTTTTTGACTATTTTTAGCGAAAAAGCAACCACCCCAAACGGGCCTCAGTGATGGAAGGCTATCTATGTTCCCTTCCTTTTAGTTCTCTTTTTCATTTTTATTTTTACATGTGTCTTCCTTTGGTTGGTTTCAAGTCACACAAAGTAGTCTATGATATTATATGCCAAAAAAAAAACTTGAGAACTTCATTTTATATACACACCAGTTCCATGTCATGTCATACCTCAACTTCTTTTTTTCTGATATGGGATCAATTTGCTTTACAAACAACACCAATGGTCCTGAATCTCAGATTATTTAGCTCCTGTACAAACTATTAGGCAAATCATAGTTTTCTGAACAAAAATTCATCCTTTTTTTGTTTTTTGTTCAAATCCCAATAATTGGGTAAGTCCATTACCTATCATGGTATTGTAAATTAGCTTCACATCCCTCAGATATGCAATAAACTTTGATTTGTTTAACTCATAGCTGTTTCAATACAATACCCAAAAACAACAAAAACAAAATCAAAACAGAAAATTCTATGAACATAAACGAATCCACTTTACTCGAATCAACACTTAAACAAATCCTCAATGAACTATATAGTTGAGGCCTAGTTTAAATTTCAAATTTCAAATTCTGTAACTTCTTCAGTTTTTTTTCCCCACATATATTTTTTATTTTCATATCACCCATCAGGTGTGCATACATTCTAGTACACACACACACACACACACACACACACACACACACACACACACACACACACACACATATATATATATATATATGTATAGAGCTCAATATAGTGGATTAACCACAAGTATTCTGTACAAGATTGAACTTAAAGTCGAATCATATAAGTGAAATCAATTCGGAGGTTGAAGAAGAAGAGAACGAAGTGGGACAATGTTACCTAGGGCAAAGATGAGTGGTTGGAGGAGGAGCAATTGACAAGCGAAGAAGAAATAGAGTCCAAAGCTGCAGCTCAGCTCCAGGTTAGCTCCAAAATGAATGAGAAAGTCAATTATCAGAACACAAATTGAAACATTGATTTAATGCAGACTTAATACCTGTGAAATACAAGCAAAAAACACAATTAAACACTTGTTTTAACAAGATTTTAGCTTGAGAGAGAGAGAGAGAGAGAGAGAGAGATCAATACATCGCAGTGAAGCTTCGAAATCGAGAGAGAGAAATTCAAAATCGAAATCGCTCTGAGATGAATCTCAAAATCGAAATCACTCTGAGACCGATCTGAGAAATCAAGCACAGCCTCTCCTGAGATCACTTCCTCTGCGATCGAAACCAACCCCTCTTCTCTCTTTGCAATCTCCCAGAGCTTCAGATCGATATCGCAGAGTACAAAGGATGAATCGAGAGAGAGAGAGCAAGACAGCGGAGCTTCAGAGCTTCAAATCGAATCGCTCTGATGTGAGCTTCAAATCGAAATTCTGGTTTCCAACCAAGTCAAATTTTGAATCTGTATGAATCTCAAAGAAAATGGCTCTGAATCGAAATTGTTGTCAAGGGTTTAGAAGCAATTGGGGGTGAGCAAGAGAGAGGCGTGGGGATTGTGAAGGCGTGAGATTCAAAATAAGGGTTTCCAAAGCTTTAACAAGTATTCTCACATTCAAAATAGCGCGTGAGGGCCAACGTATTTGGAGGCGTTTCCGATTTCAAAACGGTGTCGTTTTATTAACGAAATATGCGACGTTTTTATAAAACGTCGTTAAATATTTATAAAAGTGGCGTTTAAAAAAACGCCGTTAAAAAAACGCCGTCTAAACCTATTTTTCCTGTAGTGACGACAAAACCCAAAGCTAATGTTCCAAAAAGAAATTGGCGGCAAGAAATTAGCTTCAAAGGGCTGGAATGTTTCCTTCTTGAATGTCCCCGTAAAAAAATTTATGTTACGAATGAGGATACTGGAAGGTTACAAAACAAATGAATACATCATCAACTCAATTATTTGTTTTTTCTCTTTAATCAGTTGATTTAATTATTTATCTAACAGTAACCAAGATGAGAGTAACATAAATTCTAGAGCTAATTCACAGAAATGTCAAAGTTCAGGGATTAGAAGCTCTCAACATTACTCCATTTATTGAATATATGGGAAAATTATTAGAATGTTATTGTGAGAAGAGTTGTGAATCCCAAATAAATAAAAATTATCAATACGGGTTTTAAAAAAAAAATTAAAAAAATGAATGGATGAAAAACCACTCTGCCATGATGAATCTAAAAATTGTAAGACTCACAATACAAGACTCTACAGCTCCTCAAATTCTATCACAATCAGACTCTAAACCATTGAAAAAACAAAACAAGGCTATGGCATACATACAGACTACAGTGAGTAGTTATATATATATATATATATATAGAGAGAGAGAGAGAGAGAGAGAGAAAGAGAGAGAGAGAAAAGAGCCACGTACCGACGAGTGAAGAGCAGTGGCGGTGAGCAAAGAGCAGCGGTGGCAAGTGAAGAGCAGCGTCGGAAAGGCTAACGGCGGTGACGGCGAGGCTATGGCAGCGCCGATCGGCAAGGTAAGGAAGAGGAACAAGAATAGAGAGAAGCGGCGATGATGAATGGGATGAGATGTTTGGGTGTCATTAATTGAGAAATTATTGTGTGTGTGTGTGAGAGAGAGAGAGAGAGAGTACATCTACATTTGGTATAATAGATGGTAATCTGATGGTTGGAATGTGTAACTTGCTGGATGTGTAGCAGAAGGGTATGATAGATGTAATTTAATGGTTGGAATGTGTAACTTGCTGGAGGTGTAGCAGACGTGTAGCAGAAGGGTATGATGTAATTTAATGGTTGGAATGTGTAACTTGCTGGACATGTAGCAGAAGGGGAAAATTTGACTAAGTGGCGGGTCGGCCGGTTTATTAGGCGGGTAGGCATTTTTAAACCGTCATTCACGCCGACCGGTCACTCTTGCAACTCCCACCCACCCAATTTGTTTGGGGGGTTTATGGCCAAATTTTCTTTAATTTTAACATATAATAAATATATAAAATTATATATTATGCGCATATCCCTACATGTCGTGTCTGACATTTTTTAAAAATTGCCATGTGTGTTGTATTTATGTCATGTCACATGTCCGTAATTTTTTTGGTAGGAAGAGGCAGTGGCTGCATTACTAGTGCTTATCGTAGTTTTGATTGTAGCTGATCGAGATTCCTATTTCGTATCTCATTTCTTGAACAAATTGCAAGAAAATCCTTGGGAACAACGTTGAAGTTTAGCTTTGCTTATCACCCGCAAACTGATGGACAATCTGAAAGAACAATTCAGACTTCGGAAGATACGTTACGTGTCTGCGTGCTAGACCTCAAAGGCAATTGGGATGAGCACCTGCCTTTAGTAGAATTTGCTTATAACAACAGTTACCAAGCAAGCATTAGAATGGCACTATACGAAGCTCTATATAGAAGGAGATGCTGATCACTTCTATGTTGTACGGAAGTCGGGGACAGGAAACTGTTAGGCCCCGAGATTGTGCAAATAACAAGTGATAAAATCTAACTCATTCAACAGCGAATTCGTACTGCTCAGAGCCGCTAGAAAAGCTATGCAGACACACAAAGACGGGGCTTGGAATTTCAAATAGGAGATCATGTGTTCCTAAAGATCTCACCTACAATAGGGGTTATCCGATCTGAAAAGCAAGGCAA